CCTCGTCCCATTGGCCAAAATATTGATTGGAACTCCAGACTGAGAGCAACTGATGGTCTTTTTATGCAACTTTCATTTCCATGTAATTGCAGTAAAATCAATTTTGATCTTCTCAGATGCCATTCAAGCTTTGTGCAGGTCTACAATCTTGTCCCCGGTGTTCTTTGACAACTGTTTGTTCTTGCACATAATGGTGGAGAGATTGAAATGGAAGAAACTGGTTCAGTAGACACATGCTAGTCTGTCTCTCTCGATTAAAATGAAACTACCATTAAAGTTAGAGACTGCTCATTTCTTTGTAAGCAAACAAACTTCAAATACAGCAGGGGATCAGCAGATTTCTCCCACTGTATCTTAATATCTTTTTATTCTGCTTCCAATGTAGAATATCAAACAATGTTAAGTCAGAAATATAATTATATACACAATACATGTATTGTGGCTTTATTTTTTTGCCACTTATCATTGTACTACTGCTGTTAGGAAGAATACATCGTAGATAGCGTCTACTGCAGAATTATCATTCGTTTAACAACAGACTCTGTTTTCAAGCGTAAAAATATAAAACATAATTTAAATCTAACATCTTACTTTTCTGTGCAAGTTAAGAGGGCTTTTGTTACATCGAATTATTAAACATGTATTAAGTAGGGGTGCAACAATACACAAAATTCACGGTTCGGTTCGATACTTTGGTGTCACGGTTCGATATTTTTTCGATACAAAAAAATGTTCATGCCTTTTTAATTTGTCATTTATTAAAATTATAAATATATATTTTAACTCAAAACTACAGTTTTTAAATTTAATGTTGCTGAAACAACAAAGTAATAAAATAATAAATCTATCTGATCGAGAAATCCCTCATCTTTGGAAAAGAGAGTTTATGTCTCTTTTCAAAATAAAAGCTATACTATACGCTTCTTCTGGGCTATATTCTCAGCAGCATATTAAACATATCAGGTTCCCATAAGGAGAATCATGTGCTAACGGCTGTCTAAATGACTCGGGTAAAGTTTGTAGCATGCGTGCTTGTTGTTTTTGTCTGCTTCCACTTGTCTTTGCACTAGGATGATGTCGGCGTAAACGTGCAGTCATATTCGTTGTGTTCCCACTAGTGCTGTCAGCGTTAATCTGAAATGACGTTAACGCCACAACACGGCAAATCTCCGTTAACGAGCTACCGCGGATCGCCCCGTGCGTGGGGCGGGACGGCCAACACGTTAACGAGCTAACTGCGCTAACGCACTAGTTCCCGCCCATGTAATTGAGCATTGTGTGGCACATCCAACATACTGTTTTACTTTTGTCCATGACTCGCTTACCTTCAGGGTCATACGTCACATGAAAACCAAAATAGTTCCAAACGCCAGATCTGAATGAGGGTGGGGGAGGTTCAATTTGCCATGTTGCAATGAGAGCTTAGCTTCTGTCTCGCTAGCTTGCCCTGCGCTCAGTGAATCTGTGTTTGACTACTCTGCCTAGGCTGCACTGTCAAGCGCAGATCCACTGAGCGCTCAACACAGACAGCACCGTCAGAAGGAAAGTTGATAAAATAAATTAAAAATGTTGTATTGTTCGATACATATGCGTACCGAACCGAAAGCACTGTATCGAACGGTTCAATATCGATACAAGTATTGTTGACCCCTAGTATTAAGCATCATATGCTTAACCTCACATACACTTGTAGGATTAGTTCCACACAACATAATTAAACTATGAAACAATGTTATTGGTTTTAAAAACATAATAAAAACACTCAGAAATGTGCTGCAGTGGTTAGACACAGACTTGTAATTCATATGTTATTTTGCTGAAACATGAAGTGGATTGTATTCGTATTTGCTTGTTGTTTAATTTTTTTTTTTTAATACAGGTCCGTGGGCACATACACACAGAGATTCACAAATTATTCTATGCTAGACAGTAACATGTGGTTTCCCATGTCTATTGGCTCTCTTTGTAGACAGATATATATATTTCACTTTATCGATTTATTTTTTTTATCTGTTTCTTCTTTTTTTAGCAGTGAATAATAACATCGCCCAGTGTTTATATATTTTATCACTTTTTTCTGTTTTGTTTGCAGTCTTTCCAGAAAAGATCCCGACCATTCAGCAGTATAGACTACTGGGAAACAGCCTCAATGTTGTTGTGGTGGCAAAACTTCTGCAGCTGTTGGTCTCCTAGCACTTCTGGGGAAGACACCATTGTTGTACATGTTTGGATTATATTACAATGCCCCTGTATAGCTGAATGTATAGTTGAGATTTTGTATGAATGGTCATTCTTTTAATATTTATAAAACACAAAAACAGTTTTTGTGATCACCATTAGCCAATTTAAAATGAATGCCTCTCACATGTGTGTATATCTTCTGTTTCAGTGTGATTTGTTTTTCTCATCACAATATATTTTCTAATAAAAATAAGTCTAAAAACTGTAGAGCACATTTTGTACTCTAGATTTACTCAACTATTCATTTATTTAACAATATTGTTATTTCTTATGAATATTGTTACATTTCTATAGTATATAAATGTATGCATTTGGTTTACTTAGTTTATTATATATACAATTTAAACTTTAATTACTTTTTGCCTTTCTTTTTCCCCATACAGTATACTTCTGTCATTTCTGTGTATCAGTAAGTAATATTAGTGAAATTTGGTTGGTCAAAGAAATGTAAACTTGGAATAGTTTTACATTTATAACCTAAACGTAGTTATTTCTCATTGATCTCATTGGCACCCTGCTAGCTGAGCTCCACACACTGATCCTAGTGCACAGCTTCCTGCCAAGCAGGACAGCACGACAAACAGAAGTGTTTATACATTTCTGTGCTGATGGCGTGCCTTGTCATCTGTTGGTGTTGTTGGCGGTTCTTTGTGCGAGTCCAAAGTCGATTTAATTCACAGCAGACATTTCTATGTTGTCCTTTTTTTGGACTGGTTTTCTGATTTTTCCTCTAGCTGTGAGCCATAATCATCAAACTTGAAACAAAAAAAGGCTTAGATGATCTGAAACACCGACATTCTCTCAGGACAGTCAAATCTAAAAATGCACATCAACTAAAACATATAAAAGTAAGTTCTCCTTCAGTCTCCGACAGCCCTGTTATGAAGCGCCTCCCTTGCCAAATAACATCTGGACGTTACATTACCGCCATCATGTGGCCGCAGTCGGCGGATTCAATCTCGTTGTCTCGTCGAGTCTGTAGCTATCTCTTTAATGCCGTGTGTCCTTAACGATGATCGGAGTCCAGCAAGCTGACAGGCCAGCAGCTTTTTTTCTAGTGGTTTGCGCAGGTAAACTGAAGGAAGAGCTGAGGCAGTAGCTCTCACTATGTCTGTTCTAATAAATCAGGCAAGTTGAACAGATGCAATCTCAGCAGCATCTAATATGTTTAACCAGCTTTGCATTAGAGAGTGACGGTTAACCATGTCACTCACCCCTCAAGCCTTTTAATTCAGAGGATTTTGTTGTTACTTATATATTTTATTATTTAAATAAATCGAGGTGTAGGTCTGTGTTTCTGAGCAGATGATTTTTTCTGAGCTGGTCTTTTCATAGACGTGGTCTCAGCAAAGCCACTACAAACATTTGCTCTATAGAATATGATGCTGGACAATATAAATAACTTCAAATGAGCTAAATTTTTAAACATACAGCAGAAATATTAATCACTTTAAAGTTTCTGCACCCACAACAACAAGAACAACAGAATATTTTTTGGTAATATTTTCTTATATAGATAGATGGATAGATAGAGGAAGGAATGAGTGCACAAAGTTGAAGCTGTCCAAATGTTTTAGTCACTCATGTGAGTTATCTTTTATGTAACTACCAATATTGGCTCATCATTTTTTGCGTTGTGCTACTATTGTTACAGTATTGGAAAGCTATCATGAGTCACAGCTAGATGAGCCTTTCAAAATGTAAAGGAGGCTTTTCATATGCAATGAAATGTTTTGAGCAGCCATCTATCACAATTACTCAACGATTTGTTGATTTGCAGGTACCCAGAATGCAACCTTCAATATTTTGTCCAGTAAGTTATCAGAAATCTCCCCGCCCCCCTTAACACTGTTGGAAAAAATGCACACATTAAAAAACAACAACTCTTACACCCAATGTACTTCAGATGCCTGTAACTTTGACAATGTTCATATTATAAACATAAAGAAATGCATCTTTATGGCAAAATCAACCAAGGCTCTGAGACTTTCAGGTGGGAACATTTTTTCATAAACACAAATCACGCAATATGAGTTTTAGAAATCTAAATTAATTTGCCATAATTTAAATCACGGTCAAAGCATGGAAGGTTCATTAATAAAGATATAAAAATCTCGTATGAAAACAGTCTTTGTTTAACGTTAACCATGTCTGAGATCTGCAAATTTACGCTATGCACATAATGTCACCTGAAATGGGTTACTTATTTCTTAAAATCATGTGAGTGACATTCTTTTTCAACAATAAACCATAGTTAAACCATAATAAACCACAATAAATAAACAATAGTTAACCATTTTGGGCAAATTGAGATGTACTTTATGGCTGTACTGTCAGGTCAAAGTCTTGAGCATTAGAGTGTGGCAGCATGTAAAACCCCAGTAGAGTTGCTGAGGGTGTTCATGCATCACATCCATTTTCCATGGCAGGGACACTGCGGCTATACTACGCACTTGTATTCCTTCTGGTGGGATTGCAAAGAGGGCTGAATGACCCAGCAGAACAAGGAAACCAAAGGAAGATTAGCAATGACCAGTGAGTTGGCATTTATAAAAAAATTATTTTTTTTACGCTTTTCTTTGAATATTTCATGTCATTAAGATGCCATGTTAGTCAGATGATCACGTTTGTCTTAAGCTTTGATTCTAAGAGAATAAATGTATTTGTAATAGTATAAGTCAACCCCATTTTTTTAACCATTGCCTTTACTGACCTAAATATGAAATTGAATTTTGGACGTTTGAATCTTTAGGCCTTCCATGGTGTCAGATAATGGTCACCTTGTCTTCACAACTGGTGACAATAAAGAAATCCGTTTCCAGACCTCAGCATCAGGCCGGGTTAAAGTGGGAAATGAAGACCTCACCGAACTTTTGAGTCAAGTAAGCTTCCTTTTACCAGCAGCAAATATTCTTCTTTTGTTATTTTACAAGATCACTGCCTTCGTGCGATGGTCATTTCAATGATAGTAAGTGACTTAAGGCACAACGATTGTGATGGTATATAACATCCACATTTTGAAACACCCGGGGACAGCCTCAAAAAACAGAAGCAAAGGTCATGTCACATTATTAGTGAATGGCATCCTAACAAAGTGAATAAAAAATAACAAAATGCTTGAAAAGCGAAAATAATGTTTATAATATGTAATTTTTTCCATTCCTAGCAAACACGTATGCTCCCACACAGATAACAATTCACTGTCTTATCCAGTCACTAATTACTTTTTGCTTTTGTTTCAATCTAGTAGTTAAAACAAATGTTTGTACTGCCACACGTACTGGAACAATAAAGCAATTTTCTGATTTCTCAGCCCAATAAATTCTCTCTGACTTTTGGAAGTATGTAATTATAACATCTCATCACCTTTTAACGACCAAACACTGCTGCTCATCATATGACACTGTGAATCATTAACAAGTTAGGAAGCCAACAAAGCAAGACCAAAGCTCAGATACATTTGAGTCAGTACGGCATTAAATGTCCGTCATGCGCACACACTCACAATTGTTCAACATTTTTTTGATGAATAGTTTTATGAGTAGGTGCTAAGGCTAATATAGATAAAATGCTAAGATTGCTTTTTTTGTTTATGTTTGGGGAGGAACATTTTTGAGTTATAGCTCAAAGATTTCTAAATTAAGATGCTGTGTTATGACCACTGTAATTAGGGTGCAGACATGCTTGGGTCTTGGGCAGAAGGTGGGCTAGATGTCGATGTTTATTTTCAATTTATTTCACTTCATCATTTTATATATGACATAAATAAACACAGACAGTCTGACAGACACACAGCTATAATCTCCATGCTTATCCTTATCAGGATTGCAGGAGGAACCCTATCTATAGTTCAAGTTCAAATTTTATTCGCCACATGCAGTGGCAGGTTGCCCTGCAGTGGAATGAACCCGCCCCCCGACCTATACCTGGAAAACAAATACTCAAATACTATGATTTATAATTGTCCCCTTTACGTTTGTGTGTAAAATCGAGACATGTTTATGTGAGCCTAAAAATATCAAATGGTAATAAAATTTCATACATTTTTGGCAATCATATTAATGTGTTAACACATATTATTATTACAACTTCTTATAGACTTATAGTAATAGTCATGTTCTGATAATTAGATGATTTTGCTTCCTGGAGAGTACTTTCACACATTTGCATGTCAACTGCAGCATGACTGCATGTCAAGCCTTTGTTACTCCCAAGGTTTTTATAGTTGATAAAAATAAATACGTAAGTAAAACCTAAAAACAGGTGTAATAATCCTATAATATAGTTAAATTCTAAACAACAACAACAAACAACAGACAAATTTGCAAAGTGCTTCACAAGACAAGGTAGAAAACAAGCAGTCCCAAAACATTTTTTTTCAAAGATTTATTCATTGCTTTTCCAACAACATTTTAACCAACAGGAAGAGAGAGTTCAAGTAAAATAGAGGAGGAAATTAATAAAAAAATATTGAATAGTAATGTATGTACATCGTATATGAACAGTGTTAGGGAAACACATAGATATAGTTATACATACTCTCCCATGTAGATCATTCAGATATTATTACAG